CAACGTAAATTATGAATATGCACATTTTTTGTGCTGGGGTGAAAGGAAGCTCTTTGCACTAATACCCACTGCTACTCACAACATCTTAGGTCTATGGAAACAATGAATAACTGTTTGCTGGTTTTAACCAAAGATGCAATAAACATGGCCTATTTAGCCATGTGGGGAGAACTGGCACCTTTGGTGCTTTCACAAAGTTTCTTACCCACTGTGGGTATAGCAGTAAGATGGATATCTATCTTAAAGCAGGTTTTCCACTACTGAGGCTGCACACACTGGGAAAAACATGGCTACAATGCATTGTTTCTACAGATTTCTGAATGAAGCTGGCCATTAATGGCTCAAATTTTAGATGATCCCTGCTGTATTGGCCGAAATTCCAGCTGTGGGTTAGCACCACCTGGCTTGACAAAAGTCAACTGAAAGAGCGAAGGAGCTGAGTGAAACATTGTTCAGTCAAACAGTGACTACATCTTCTCTGTAACGGAACCAACCCAGACTGCACTTGAGTACTTCCAAAAGAATACCGCTTCCCCGTCCGAACACCGACAACAGACACCACAGCCTACCATAAAAGACTAGGACTACACCAGTCTTGAAGTAAACCAGGAGGGAGACTACTTTATTTGAACACAGATACAAGAGATATACACTCAGGGAACAATCATCCTCCCTGCATAATGACACAGGGCGGGGCAATCTACATTTAGTAACAAGGCACACAGGTATTCAAACTTCACACCAGCACAGTCCCATCAGGAGGGAGGGCTGCTGGAGACACCCCCCCCCCCCCACTAAGCTAATACACCTAAGCACATACATCCCATACTAGTTTGCTCCCAAGCCAGACACAAACAATAGAACAATGGGATGCAGCCACATAACATCAAACAATGAACAATCCCCACCCCACCTATCTCCTAAACATGTCTACACAGTCTGAGACAAAGTCCACACAATATTAGGACAGATCAACCTGTATCCTTAACAGGCACAGGGTGATTTACACATAAGAGGGATATGGGGAGCTGAGATAGGGGTCTCCCCACCTCTCCAAAGTGAGTTGGGTTCCATGGGCCCCCCACCCAAAGTAACTCTCGTCACACTCTCATGTACAATCATTGTTGTGGTATTTAGGCAACTTTGGGTGCTGGGATTTCTTGAATACAATAGCCGGCAGTGCAGATCCCCCCATACATGCTGTTTAGCATAGATTGAGGAACTAACCAAACAAACCAAAAATTAAATACTATATATTGCAGCTTACCAATTCTTACATTTGGTTGCTGCATTAATTTGCTTTTTCAGGATATTTTCCTTTATTTTCACCTGGAGATCTAACCAGAAACATGCTTCCTGTGTGGAGCCCCGTACAAACGGGCTGAATATCGGGTGGCATCGACCGGTTCAACGGGAACCAGCCAACATTTAGCCCATGTGAACAGTAGCCAGTCCACCAGAAGCCAGACGTTCTTCCGGATTTTGTCGAAGGGGCATGTCTGAAAAAGGTCTGCCAATCAGCTTCCGATCAGCGCTTTTCACCGCTTGTGTTAGTACACAGACCTGTCTGTCCCGCTGGGCTGAACGGAAAAAAACTTACAGTGTGTATGAGGCTTTAGGGTGTCTCCATTTTGGATGAAGGAGAAAAAGAAATACATTTGGACAGCAGTATTTTCAATCTGGGGAAAAGGGAAATGTTATAAGCACTAGTAGATATAGATGGACTTGACAAACAAATTGAAGCTTAATTCCAGATAAAGCCCCTTTCACACTTGCGGTCCGATCGAGTTAGCCTGTCAGCTTTTCAGATGGGCCTCACTGGATCCTCCATTCTCTTCTATGGGTAGCCAAATGTAAACGGACATGTGTCTGTTTACATCCGGCTACACCCGATCCAATCTGATCTGGGTAAAATAAATGGGGGGGTGGGTCCATTCCCCTCCATCTGACTGGATCAGATTGGATGGCAGTCAGGAGTAAATGGACAGCCGGTCCAATTACATCCGACTGCCCATAGAGGAGAGCAGGTTGTTCGTGTCTGCTCTGCATAAGCAGAGCAGACACGGACCAGTCATCCACATACTCAGTGGGGGATAGCTGGACAGAGTCCACCCCATGTGAAAAGGGCCTAACACTTTCTTAGAAGCATATTTATTTTTATTTTTGTGAAACAAAACAATATGCATGTTGTTACATAACATACTGTATCAGGTTGCAATGAAACAGATCCAATATTCACAGTGTACATGCACCAAAATGCTGCCTGCAGTGTTCTACTATACAATTATCAAATATATTTCATCAAATGTACAAGCAGTTCACAGTACTTCTTGAAGTAAAAGCATGCTATATATCTCAGTATAGTAAAAAACAACAAACAGAAACAAGTCAAATCAAAGTCAAGGATACGAAGCCATACGAAACATGGATATGATCTATGATCAATTCTAATCCATTATATTAACCACAGATTCCAACAATCGTGAAATGTTTTCTGATTGCCTACGGTAAAGGTCATATTTTTTCATATACATATGAGGCATCTACATGTCCAGTAATATTAGAGATATTTGGGGCCATGTTGCCTTTCCATTTAACTAATGTTAGCCTGGCCACATATAAGATATGCAAACCAAGAGACCTCAAAGAGGGAAAGAAGGGATCCACATCAATACTATAGATTGCCATCTCGGGCACAGGTTTAATGACATGTTCTGTCTTTTTCGATATGAGATGAAACACCTCATTTCAAAAGCTTCTCAAATGCAGACGTGCCCAGATCACATGGATTATGGTGTCCACTTGACCATTGCCTCTCCAGCATAGGTTAGGCCCTGTATTAGAAAATGTTGCTACTCTACTTGCCGTTAGGTCAGATAACACTTTTTACAGTGGTTCTAAAGGTAGAAGGTTTTTTACCTAATGCACTTTATGCATTAAAGAAACCTTCTGGGTGCAAACTCTCTCCTCAGCCACCCTTAAAATTCCCTGAACCCCACCTCAATCCAGCGATGTGCATGAGAGCCACAGCTCTTCTGGGTCTCTCTCTCCTCATTGGCTAACACAGTAGCAGGCACAATTGGCTCCTGCTGCTGTCAATCACAGCCAGTGAGCCAATGAGGAGAGAGTGGAGGCAGGCTGAGCAGCACTCTGTGTGTGAATGGACAATGAGGGCACTGAGCAGGAGGTAGGAGCCAGGACCACTGGTAGGGGACCCAAAAAGAAGAGGATCGGGGCTGCTTAGTGCAAAACCGCAGCAGTTAAATATAACATGTTTGTTCTTTTTTTATTACAACCTTTAGAATTGCTTTAAGCAGTTACAGCAAACAGTTTTCTTTCCTTCTTGGATAAAGGCTTTACATAAATAAAAAAAAAAATCTGACCATTGTCGGCACCTCTGTCAGTGTTAAATGCTATTTCTCAACCTTCTAACTGCCAGTTTTGCTGGACAGCTTGGGCTGTTAAAAGAAGTTGACAAATAGCAAACTTACTGGCAGGATCATCAGGTAAAAACAAAGGAAAGAAGGAAAGAAAGAATTGGCAAACTGCAATATATAAAATTTTGGGTTTAACATGGTTTTAAAGGATAGGTACAGCCAAAGATTGTGGCTGTACTTCTCCTGTGGATGACAGGAGTGAAGGTCATTCTGCACTCTTGTGTGTCATTTTCAGCTGACGGCGGACTGAAGCCCACCGTCGGTTGATGTCACAGAGCCGGTCCAGCCTGGGGAAAGATCCCCACCATATGGTCGGGGTCCATCCAGGAGCTTGGTTCGGCATCTGGCTCTGCCTCTCAGAGATCCGCTGAAAGCCTGAGCCAGCCACTTCCGCCCCCTCCACAGCCCAGAGGTCCAGGGGGGCAGAGCAGACAGCTGACTGACGGTCACCAGCTCTCTGTGCACGGAGCACTAAGACCCGAGAAATCAGTAGTTTTTGATCGCTGAAGTTCCCAGTGAACTGCATCAACTTAGGTAAGGATGACTTCTAGAAAAATAAAAAAAATCTATCTCTTTTAAGATTCACTACACTGAAATATATGTTATTTAAGGTATGCTGTATGATGTGAACCCTCACCTTGTAAAACATATTCGAGATATACACACACACACACACTTTATTAGGTACACCTTGCTAGTGACAAGAAAATATCCCCCAAACCTTTACATCACCGCCACCAGCCTGGACCGTTGATACAACGCAGGATGGATCGATGCTTTTATGTTGTTTACACCACATTCTGACCCTACCACCTGAATGTCGCAGCAACCAGTCTGTCCATTTTCCTCTGACCTCTGACATCAACAAGGCATTTTCGTCCACACAACTGCCACTCACTGGATATTTTCTCTTCTTGGACCATTCGCTGTAAACTCAAGAGATGGTCGTGCATGAAAATCTCAGCAGATCAGCAATTTTTCATATACTCAGACCAGCCTGTATGGCACCAACAACCATGCCACATTCAGAGTCACGTAAATCCCCTTTCTTTACATTCTGATGTTAAGTTTGAACTTCAGAAATTTGTTTCCACAGCGTCTAGATACCTAAATGCATTGAGTTGCTGGATGTGATTGGCTGGAAAGCTGTGTTACCAAACAATTGAACAGTCATACCTAATAAAATGGCTGGCGAGTGTGTGAGTGTGTGTATATATATATATAGATAGATAGATAGATAGATAGATAGATAGATAGATAGATAGTGAGAACTAGCATTAAGGGTCGAGCTTTTGAAGCACACAGCCACTCGCTTCTCTTCTTTTTAAGGGCTGTTTTTACCCAATTTTATTTGAAAGAAAGTAGCACACAATATAGGTTTCCCACGCAGGGGTATCCACCATCAATGCAAAAAAAACCACATAGATTCAGCCTCCTGGCTCTCTTTAGCAGCACCGCTGCTCAGGCTTCATGCCTCGGTCCTCTTGACCCTTCACATACAACACACTGCACCTGGGTTAGCGCCCTTTCTCAGCACTCCTGCTTCTCCAGCCCACAGGCTTGGACCCTGTCTGCTCTCAGACATCTCTGTGCCACCCTGCACACTTGTGGCTGCTCCCTTGCACCCACATGGACATCTCGGGAAGGTGGAGCCCAGAACCCTGGTCCTGACTCTAGAAGAAGCACACACACACCTGACCAATCAGTCTCCTGGCCATTCCCAAAACCTGGTCCAAGGATTGGAGATTTCATCCCTCCCAAATCAGTTTGAAATCTTCAGGCTCCAGGTCCCAAAATGGACTTTACAACCAAATGAGGAAAGTGAAAAGCCAGTTTCCTCTGCATTAAACAAGTACCCTGGAGTCCCTCAACCTGCCTTGTTGAGAATCCCGGGTGAAATATCCTTTCTACACTGTGGACAGGTCACCACACTGTCACATTATATATACGTATATTTTTATTATGCACCATTTTTTATCTTTTTATAAGTGATCACATGGCTTGTGTTCCCAGCTGCATAAGCTGCTTAGAGAGCTGAGGGTGAAAACAGCAGGATACTGATCTTCCTAGTGATTAGCTGTACAGGGGGGGGGGGGGTGCATCAGCACAAGTCTGACCACTGTAGGAGTACAGGCAGGATGTGCTCCCAAGTACAATGCATAAAAGCAAACTGAATACTCTGGGATGATCAGCTTGAAATGGGAAAGCAGGGGGACTGGAAAGATCACCAGGTATCTCATACAAAGGAAACAATTCAAAGAAAACAGGATAATAAATATTAAAGGTTGAGGTAACAAATCCTTTAATAATAATAAGGCAAGTCAATATAAAAGGCCCATTATGATGCTTACCTCTTGCTGACAGCTTTTTGGTGTTGATAATTTTGGCTGCATATTCTTGTCCCGTGGTAATCTTCATGCATCTCCTCACCACAGAGAATGCACCCCTGAAAACCAAAAACAAGTTTGTTTAAATAGTTTCATCAGAAAAGATTGTCTGATCTGATAATGAAGAAACATTTCCCATAGTGGACTGCCTTTCACAGTTTTCTAGAAGGCATTTAGGATTAATGGCGTGTGGAGGAAATGTGTTTCTCAGAAGTCACCCGACACCTCCTGTCTCATTAATACTTTGCACAAGTATTCATACCCCATACATCTAACAAAGCACACATCAGCGTGTAAAGTTATGTCATCGTTTTTACTTGTCCGGACAGCTCTTAACTGATGAAGGCTGGACACATTAACAAGCTTTCTGACATTGCTCTTTTTATTGTTTTATTACTATTATCCAGTCATTTATCAATACCTGCAGCTAAAATGTGGTCAGGGCCAATTCAGGTGGTATTTGTTTAGCTCAAAATGCTGTGTGGTCACTTTCTTGAATTGTGATACATTGTAATGTATATCAACCTCCAATCTCAACACACAATCTACTCTTTCCTACAAAATGCCATCTCTTCACTTACCTGACTGCATAACAACCATCTGATTCTTCACATTCTTAACGCCCACTTTAGCAATTAAACAGGCTCTTAATGCATAGTTGTCATCTAAGATGGGAAAATCGACAAAAAAACAGTGCAGCTTGGATGACTTCTAGTATAAATGCCCACACATAGCACTTATACAAAAAAAAAAAGAAAAATAAAGCCTATCAAGAGTTGCTCCTCCTAACCTTGTGGCCCCTTTCACACGGGCGAAGTGCGCCTGCTCATTGGAGGATCAGTCTACTGATCCCTGCTAAATAGGCAGATCCACTTGTACAGAGTGGACACAGACACAGCTTTCTGTTCTCTATGGGGCAGTCAGATGTAAACATACCACCTGTCTGTTTGTATCTGACTGTCATTCAATTCAGTCCGCTAGATGGATGGGAGAACAGATCCACATCTGCCTGTTTTTAGCGGATCAGATGCATGCAGGTGTAAATGGACGCATGTTCATTTACATCCGCCTACCCATAGAGAGAGCAAAGGATGGTCTGATCAGGTCCACCTGAAAAAAAGACCGCTGACCCAATTGGTCCGCCAATGTGAAAGGGCTGTATAGTTAGATTTCTATTTTGTTATAATCACTAATCTCATGTTGCATGGGTTAAAGGAAATAAAAGCAGGCAGACTGAATATATATATATACCCATGGTACATGGGGTGCTAAGGTTCCTTTCACACAGGGCCATACCACTCCATTCAAAGAGGGATTTGTGAACAGATCCCCTGCTGAATCAGAGCAGAACAGGATGGACACTGGTACCTATTTCTAGCTGGTACCTGCTCCCACTTGCATTGGGTTCACCTAGTTCTCCCCCTCCCTCCTCAACCTTCTGGGATACATCACAGGACCCAGGAGGCTGCACAATAATTCACAGGGAGCTGCGTGGCTTACGCATGTGCAGTGGGGAGCCGACTGTAATGCCACAGGGTGTCACAGCCTCCTTCCCACAGTAAACATGGCAGCGCCATGGACCTGATGACCAGCAAAAAATTGGCCCAGATGAGGACAGTGCTGGATCCTGCGACTGGTAAGTATCTCTTTATTAAAAGTCAGCAGCTACAGGATTTGTAGCTACTGACTTTTTTTTTTTTAAACTGACTGAAGATCCTCTTTAAAGTTGGCCCTACACACTTAGATTTTTTCATAGAAGAATATTATTTCTTGCCATCATCCAGTCTACTCATTTTGTTTAAAAGCCCTTATAATTTTGCCTAGACTTGGGCTTCTAGGGAGGGCTGATCTCATGTCCTGGGGGGAGAAAAAGGTGTACACACACACTCTATATTGCCAAACGTATTGGGACACCCCTGCAAATCATTGGATTCAGGTGTTCCACTCACCTCTGTGGCCACAGGTGTATAAAATCAAGCACCTAGGCATGCAGACTGCTTCTACAGAGCTCAGTGAATTCAAACATGGTACTGTGATAGGTTGCCACCTGTGCAATAAGTCAATCCGTGAAATTTCCTTCCTACTAAAATATTCCACGGTCAACTGTTAGTGGTATTATAACAAAGTGGAAGCAACTGGGAACAACAGCAACTCAGCCATGAAGTGGTAGGCCACGTAAAATGACAGAGCGGGGTCAGCGCATGCTAAAACGCACAGTGTGCAGAAGTCGCCAACTGTCTGCAGAGTCAATAGCTAAAGACCACCACACTTTGTGTGGCCTTCATATTAGCACACCAACAGTGCGTAGAGAGCTTCATAGAATGGGTTTCCATGGCCAAACTGCTGCATCCAAGCCTTACATCACCAAGTGTAATGCAAAGTGCCAGATGCAGTGGTGTAAAGCACACCACCCCCGGACTCTAGAGCAGTGGAGACGTGTTCTCTGGAGTGACAAGTCACGCTTCTCTGTCTGGATTTGGTTGTTGCCAGAACGGTACTTGCCTGACTGCATTGTGCCAAGTGTAAAGTTTGGTGGAGGGGGGGGGGATTATGGTGTGGGGTTGTTTTTCGGGGGTTGAGCTTGACCCTTTAGTTCCACTGAAGGGAACTCTTAAAACATAAGAATACCAAGACATTTTGGACAATTTCATGCTCCCAACCTTGTGGGAACAGTTTGGGGATGGCCCCTTCCTGTTCCAACATGACTGTGCACCAGTGCACAAAACAAGGTCCATAAAGACATGGATGAGTGAATTTGGGGTAGAGGAACTTGACTGGACTGCACAGAGTCCTGACCTCAACCCGATAGAACACCTTTGGAATGAATTAGAGCAGAGACTGTGAGCCACGCCTCCTCGTCCGACATTAGTGCCTGACCTCAAATGTGCTTCTGGAAGAATGGTCAAACCTTCTCATAGACACACTCCTAAACCTTGTGGACAGCCGTCCCAGAAGAGTTAAAGCTGTTATAGCTGCAAAGGGTGGGCCAACTCACTATTCAACCCTACAGACTAAGACTGGGATGCCATTCATGTGCGTGTAAAGGCAGGCGTCCCAATACTTTTGGCAATATAGTGTGTGTATATACATATATATATATATATATATATATATATTGTCCTTTGTTGGCTTATCACATGTAGGTAGTGTAGGTAGTGACTGGGATGAATAACACTATAACACTGGGGACTTCTTGTTTTCCTTCCTAGGAGAGTGACGGCATCCCTCCCAGCAATGTAAGGTGCAAGGTTACTGCCACTTGAACAAACATACAGCAAGCAGAAGCTGTGTTTTAATTTGCTGTATGTTTATTCAAGTGTTTTGTAGCTGAAGAGAAAAAAAATGTAACTCAAGTGTGACATGAGAGAGGAACACTGACAGAGACATTTGTTTTCCAGGGACAGACTACTCAAAAGGGGGAATGTCCCCGGAAAACAGGGACAAATGACAACCTTGTCAAACGTAGGCACCTTCCTTGGTGCATTTTTGTTGTGGACTACATTTTAACATGCCAGCCTAGACGGGAAGCAACACTTGTAACTTTCTCCAACTAAAGAGCATAGCTGAATGCTAACACAAGTAATCCTGGGATGTGTAGTTTGAGACAAACAGTGCATGTGAGTATGATTATTTGTACACTGCTGAGCCTTACTGGAAATTCAAGACCAGTGCCTACAAGGACCGAGGGGGGCAGTTCAAATAATCTACAAAGGCAAAACCTATCTAGAAAGCTTGATCCAGAAGACAAATCACAAGGTAGAGATTTATATTTTATATTTAATTGGTACACTGTTTTTTTTTCTTTTTCCAAGGGTTTAGTGCCACTTTAAACTACATCTGTTTCAATTACGATCCCTTATGTATTGACCTAGAATGACAGCAGACAGTGATGTCAATACTGGTTTCCTGTTTTACAACTGAACACTTTCCACAACAGATAATACTGAAGTATACTGTATCCCACACAGACTCAAACTCCCTGTTACATGAATGTGACTGTACACCCACCTACATCCAATCCTTATCCACTTAAAACAGACTATTGGATCGGATTCCAGTCGGCTATAAACAGACAGGCGGTCCGTTTATATCCAACATAGAGGAGAGCAGGCTGTGTGTGTCTGTTCTGCATAAGCGGAGTGGACACAGACCAGCCATCTGCTTGCTCAGCTGGGATTAACAAAAAGGTACCCTGCTGAGCAAGGGGAATACTGGAGGAGTCTGCCCCATGTGGAAGGGGCCTTAGGAGCCACACACAACTGTCCTAAATTCAAATAATGACAGAAGCCAGCAGGGAGGAGAACCCCTGGGGATGGGGCAGTATGGAGATGGGAGGGTGCAGACTGTGACCTTGTTGTAGGTTACACCTAAAATATGGGTATACCATGAAATTTGGTCAGAAAGGTGGACTTCTCTTTTATTATTTATGTTAGCAAAATTCCATTGCTCTATCCACCCCATGTTGGAGCCATCATTTTATAAACAGACATCATGAGGTTTACTTACTGAAATTAGGCTCACTTCTGCAAGAAACCAATCAGCTTCCTCAGCTTTTTCAATTA